GTCTTCAAGTGGGCATGGAGACAACCAAATGGATAATGGACAGCAGTTGCTCCACCACATGACGTGAATAATTTTTCTTCTCTTACTTTAGGAGACTTTGGTAAAGTATATTTCAGAGAAAACAATTTTGCTAGCATTATAGGTAAGGGTCAGGTTGGAAAAGTCATTCCATAAAGAATGTGATGCTAGTTAATGGTTTAAAGCATAATCTTATGTCTATCAGCCAAATGTGTGCTAAAGGGTGTCGTGTAATTTTTGAGCCTAGCTGTTGCTATGTTAAAAACATAAAAAAAAATAAACATATTTTTTTCACAGGGAAACGTAATGGGAAGATCTACACAATAGATTTATGATAAGGATAGTTTTAATGAAACCTGTCTTGTGAGTCTGGATAAGAGTGAATAGGAGGAACACAAGCGTCTTGGTCACGTAAATATAAGCACTCTGTCGAAACTTGTTCGTCTTGAACTAGTCAAGGGTATCCCTCAAATCAACGTGAAAAGAGATTTCTTTTGTGATGCTTGGCTAAAGGGAAGCTTACCAGGTCTAGTTTTAAGAATAAATCTGTCATTTCCATGACCAGATCCTTAGAACTACTTCATCTAGATCTTTTTGGGTCAACCAATGTAGTGAGCTATGGAAGGAATTCGTATGCTTTTTTGATTGTCGCTGATTTCTCAAGGTTCATCTGAGTACTTTTTTTAGCTAAAAAGGATGAAGCGTTTCAGGATTTTAAAAATATCGTCAAACGCATTGAGAATGAGAAATTGTCTAAAGTTTGTAGCATTCGAAGTGACCATGGAGGATAATTCAGTTCTGATCCTTTTAAGCATTTTTGTAATGAACTAGGAATTTCTCACAACTTCTCTGCCCCCGGAACTCCTCAATAGAATGGAGTAGTCGAAAGATAAAAATAGGACCCTCATTGATATTCCCTGAACTATGTTGCATGATTATGGGATTCCTAAGTATTTTTGGGTTGAAGCTATAAACACTTCTTGTTATATTTTAAACCATGACTTAATCAGATATGGAATTAACAAGACTCCTTATGAAATCCGGAAGGGAAGAAAATCAAACATTGGTTACTTTCATCCTTTTGGATGCAAATGCTCTATGCTCAATACAAAGGATAATCTAGGAAAATTTGACTCGCAATCGGATGAGTCTGTCTTTCTAGGATACTCTTCTACTAGTAAGGCATATAGGGTGTTTAACAAACAGACCCTCAAGGTTGATGAGTCCACCAACGTGATATTTGATGAATCTATTGTTGAAGCTACAAATGACATGGATGATGATGATTTTGGACTCGGAAGGAGTTCACCTACAAGTGATAACAATGACACTGGAAGGAATCAGACAGGAGGATCACTTCATGAAGACATGAGCTAGTTAACAGTTGGAAATGAGCATAACGAGAAGGTCACTGAAGATGTAACTGAAGGAAGGGTTGAAGCAACTGGATCACAAACCTCACATCAACAAGAGGCATGCTCTGTCTCAAGTTATTGGACCTATTGATCAAGGTATGATCACTCGGTCTAAAGCTATTCCATCTTTTACTGCCTTCGTTTCCTTGATTGAACCTAGGAATGTTCAAGAAGCTATTTTAGATGAATTATAGAGAGCTGTTATGTTTAATGAAATGCACTAATTCGAACGAGCAAATGTGTGGGAGTTAGTTCCTATAATAGGGAATAGAGTGATCATAGGTACAAAATGGATTTATAAAACAAATCGGATGAAATAAGAATTATAATCAGGAATAAAGCTTGCTTAGTTGCTCAGGGGTGCTGTCATGAGGAAGGTATAGACTTTGATGAAACTTTTGCTACTGTGGCTCGTTTAGAAGATATTCGAATGCTATGTGCTTTCGCCAGCTCAAAACGGTTTAAACTCTATTAAATGGATGTATAAAGTTCCTTCTTAAACGGGGATTTCAAAGAAGAAGTCTATGTATCTCAACCCCTTGGGTTTGAAGATCATAGGTTCTCTAATCATGTGTACAAATTAAAAAAAGGCTTTATATGGGTTATAACAGGCTCTCAGGGCATGGTATGAAAAACTTAGATCCTTTTTGTTGGAAAATGGTTTTCAAAGGGGTGTAGTTGACAAGACTCTCTTCATAAAACAAAATCTGGAACATATTATACTAGTTCAGGTGTACGTCAATGATATAATCTTTGGTGCTACTTGTGACAGCATGTGTACGGATTTTGAAACCAAAATGAAGGGGGCTTTCGAAATGAGTCTAATGGGAGAATTAAGTTTCTTTTTAGGCCTTCAGATAAAACAAACTCCTCCGGATTCGGAGTTCCTCCATTCCTGATCATCTACCCCAAATAGCCTATGAAAACTCGGACTATTAAATGTCGTCCATATGATAAAATGGATAACCGGTATGTTAGTCGATAAACTAGTAAGTTCGTTAATCGGCCACTTGGTATCGGTTGTCGGCAGCTATTTAGGATGTCTTGGTATATCGTTAACTAGGGATGGAAGTTTGGTATTGATATTTGGGACGTACCGAATATCGTACTGAATTTATCACTATTGGGTATCACATAATATCGTTTTATTTTTTTAGGATTGTGATTCATTTTGGAGTACTATTCGGTACTCGAGATTACAAGATTGGGATCGATATTACCTAAATGCTGAGAAATACAAAAAATTAAAATTAATGAATATAGCACACAACATTCACAATATTTGGTCATTTCTCACTCTTTGACAACTCACAAGCCCCCCACACAACCCAATTTTGGATTTCCATTTTAAGTCACTCTAAGTTTCTCACTCAAACTCTTGTTATTTTCATAACACTAAAAAACATATGCACTTTTATTAGTTGTCTCTTAGCCACCAATCCTTCGAATTAAAGATTACCAATGACAAGAAATTGAGATGTCACCATCTCGTCCCTTCTCCTTATCAATGTCCTAGCACTAGGCGAACTCAAGACCTTTTGCCTAGTCTCTTTGCCCTATATTAGATTACCAACTCTAATTTATATATTTAATTATTAATTTTAGGTGTAATTAATTTTATATTTGATAATATCGATTGGGACAGCAAAATATTTAGAGATTGAGATACCAAATTTATTTAGGATTGAGATTGAGATTGATTTTAGTGTGTACTTCGGTATTTGAGATTTCGGTATTTGATATCAAGATTCCGATACTGTATCGATTTCCACTCATATTGTTAACCGGTTAGGCGGTTACCAGTGAAACCTGTTACCCACCGATTGTCAGCCTTACTATGATTGTATAAGTGATGAGATAAGAGGTTAATTATAACGCTAAACTTTGAAACAATTATTCTCAACATCAACTTGTTGGTTTTTGCAGATTTAATAGAACTTGTTTACAATTTAAATTTCTTTGATTAAAATTTGTGCTGTCACATTACAGTTATATGGTTAACCGATAAAATAATTGATAACTATCATCATTTAATTTCTCAGAAAACCGATAACTGACCAAACGATTACGGGTATAACCGAGCGGAATCGACTATTAACCCTAGTTATAGAGCGAGCTTTAGGGTTCGGTTAGCCTGACTACCCCTAAAGGGGTAGTGATTTTTGACACCCCCTTTATGATTGGCCAATTTTATTTCCAATCATTGGCATGTATTAATTAAACTGGTTTTTTTATTTTTTTTAATCTTGTAATTTCGGGTCTCTCACCACATTGGAAAAGAGAAAGAATCTGGGGAAAAACGAAATCACCCCCATTAATTACATAATTAATTTCTCTCACTGGTACATTAATTACACGTACCACTCCACTGGTACACGTACCACTCCACTGGTACACGTACCACTCCACTGGTGCGAGCAATCCACAAGGTAGGTTAGAGTGAGAACAATACCAGTGCAATGATATTTTTCATAACAATGATAAACAATAACGGAGCAACAATGCAGTACCACTTCAATGATACAAATACCACTCCACTGGTACACGTACCAATCCAGTGGTACACGTACCACTCCAGTGGTACACGTGCCACTCCAGTGGTACACGTACCACTCCACTGGTACGTTTCCTCTGCCGCCGTCTTCCATATGCTCGACGTTAGAGACGAAATCGTCCAGATCATCTTGATGATTTCCGACCGTGTGAAGTGATGAAGTCGATGTCGCATGAGAGGAGACTCGAGGGGAACGGAGGGACGGGAGAGGGTCAGCGGAAAGGGAGGCAACGATAAGTTGGGCCACTGATGGAAGTTGGCCGACGGAGGGTGGACCGCCGGAGGGAGGGTTTGCTGGACTGAGAAGACGCCGGGAGAGGGTTCTGGTGGAAAGAAATTTGAAAGGAAGAGAAGGGGAGATGAAAGATTGTTGTTTCCCGTGTATCATTATTATGGGAACTTTCCCATGCATCATTATTATGAGAATTTTCCCAATAAAGCAATAATAATGACAACTTCCCAATAAAACAATAATCATTAATACTTACCCAAAGATGAAGGACACGTGGATAGCTGCAGGAGGGGGTGTCAAAAACCCAACCCCTTTTGGGGTAGTCATAGTATCCTGCCCCCGAGCTTTATAATTTGGAATCTCTACCTACCGTCTTTGGTAAGAAGGCTTTGTTTTGAGTGTAAGCTGTCATGGGCTTGCTCCATCTAAGGCTGGTCCCAAGCTGTGTCTTAGGCTGGCTGGATAGCGTTAGCGTGGCGAGGTAGACTCCGGCGCCGTGGTAGTGGACGAAGACGGGGAGCTTCTATTCTATCTCCTTATATAATTGGGCATTAACGCCGGTGGCTTCCGAGATCTGGAAATTGGAGTAAATGGGTATTAAGTGCCATGTTTACCCGCCATAATCCTCAGACAGTCACAGCTACCACTGCCACCTCGGATTTCTCCTACCCAATGGTAAAGTGACACGCTGGAAGGGACACGGTTGGGGTCTTGGGGAGTCCTATTTTAGCTATACATACATACATACATATTTCAGTCCATTTATTTCCTTACTTTCACACTCGATAGGGTAAAATGTGCAATTCAATCATTCATTCCAACGTTAGTAGATACGCCTTACCAAATAGCGGTCATGCTCATGCTATGCTACCACCATCCAATCCATCCATAACATCAACTACCCAACTAACTTACTTAATTAACCCCACAGGCCGGCCGGCTTCAGTCTCCCTCAAATCCAAACACTTCAATTTCTCATAGCCTGCTGCCTCCATCTGAACACGAATATGTCATAAGCAACCCGGTAATCGACATAACGCTAGCTAATACGTAAAAGGATCAATGCCGACTACACACAAACATTTCTAACGACTCGAGCTATTGAAACCAAACACACACGACCATAGGGAACCATAGAGAATTCACTCTTTTCATTGTATAACGTCGAATATATTAATACACACGGGAACCATGAAACTTCAACGCTACTAGTTCTTCCAAAATTACAAACGGTCTGGGAAAACTGAGCAATTTAATTGTCACACATCATATAAACTGTAAAAAAAAAAAAAAAAAAAAACAGCGAGAACACCCCCAAAACACGCGGATTTTCAATTACCTTGCTTCACGAAATCGATGACGGTTTTGATGAGCGGAGCGATGCTCTCGCTCTTGGGGCTGAAAAAATGGAAGCAATGGTCTTCCCCTTTGGTCTCGAAAAAATCAACCGCCCCTTTCCACTCGCTCTTCTTCATCGTCTCCGCGTAGCTCACGCCCCTTCCCCTCAGCCCATCCTTCTCCGCCACGCAAACCAAAATCCTCCCAACCTTCAGCTTCGCCAAATCCGGGTCGCCCGCCGGGTGCACCCTCGGGTCGTCCTTCGCGCCCGAGCTCGTCGGGCACATGTACTGGTAAAACCGATCGGGCTGATCGGTCCCGAAATACGGGTGGACCAGAACCATCCGGGTCAGATTCAAACCCGCGACCCCTTTCGCCCCGGCCTGGACGGCGACGTAGTGGGCCAGATTTGCGCCCGCGCTCTCCCCGGCCAGGACCACGTTCCCCAGATCCGCGTGCTGGTTCAGCCAGGGTTCGGGTCCGCGGCCGTCGGCGTGCCGGGCGAGCCACTGGAGCCCGGCCCAGCAGTCGTCGTAGGCGGTGGGCAGCTTGTGCTCGGGAGCGAGGCGGTAGTCGACGGAGATGGCGATGACGCCGGACTGGGTGGCGAGGGTGGAGAGGAAGATCTTGAAAGGGGTGGCGAAAGGGGATCCGATGCAGAAGCCGCCGCCGTGGTAGTGGAGGAGGACGGGGAGCTTCTTGCCGGCGGGGACCTTGGGGAGGAAGATTCTGGCCTTGACGCCGGCGGGCTCGGGGGAGATGAGGACGTCCTTGGATTCGACTCCGGTTTCGGGATCGAGGCCAGCGGGGGAGTGGTCGGTGTCCCAGTATCTCTCGACGCGGCCGTCTTGGTAGACCTTGAAGAAGCCTGGGAAATCGTGGGCGATCTGGTCGGAAGCCATCGCCGGGGGAAAACAGAGGGAGAAATTAAAGCAGGGGGATTTGGGAGAAGGGATTATTGAGATATGAATGATTGGGTGGGATTTGATAGCGGGGGTTGGCGTGTATATATATATATGTAATGTAATGTGGCGGAGGGGACGAGGGGAGGAACTGAATCGAAATCAATTGAATTGAATTGAATTGAATGGGGAGGGGGAGGGGTATAGTTGGGGTAGGTGTCCGCTTCATCGGGGGGAAAAGAAGGAGAGGAGGGGAGATATTTTTTCATTTAATAATTATGGTTGTGTTGTGTAACAGTTTTAGTTTCCGATTTGCTTCCTTCTTAAACGAATCTGTTTTCTGCTAGAAGATTGATTACATTAATTAATTAATGTCGGATTTACATCTTATTGTTGTCGCGTTACTGGAAGTTTAATAGATGGAGAATCGTGATACAGGAAACAGAGGCAAAGAAGAGAAGATATGGAGAGAACCAATTCCTTATAGATTATGAGATAGCCGCACAATAATATGCTCTACATGTTTACAATTTTATGTACATAATAGCATTTTTTACACTTCTACTATGATAAATTAACAAAACTACTTCTCTACAAGTTTTTGAACAAACATATGCATCTAATATTAAAACGTAACGGGTTTACTTTTCAATCCAATTATATGTTAAGTGACCGTTAAGTGAGCTATAAAATGACCAAATTACCCCTTATTTACTCCTAAATGCTCTAAATTTTGATTTTAATTATTTAGATCTCAGATCACATAATTAAAAAAATCAAACTCATAAATGAAATCACACATACGCCACCAAAAACTGTCTATCTCTCTCGGTGAGAGGCCCCTCGACTTGGTGGCGGCGCTTACTCCCGGCATCTCCTCGCTGACAGCTGGATTATAGAGAATCGGTCGGCTTAAATTGACACGCTTTGACCAAAGGAAATATGAAGGGACGGCTAGGCTTGGCAACGGGCCGGATCCGGGCCGGGGAGGGCCTATCCGCCACCCGCCCGAAAGCCAGTCGGGCTTTTCCCGAATCCACTGGGTAATGGGCTACAATCGGGGTTAACGGGTTTACCCGCTACCACTGTTAGCCTAGAAAAAACAAAAACAAAATACAAAGAATGCAACATTGAAATTACTTTTAGAGAAAAATCAGATGGCATGACTCCAATTCCAATTTCCATAATCCAAACTGTCTAAACAAATCAAAAAAGGATCAAGGCACCAAATGATGCATAGTTGCATACAATTCCATCTCCAAATTCGAATATCCAATCGAAACAAACAAGTTCCTAAACTTCAATCCAAGCAATAAAATCGGTACCACATACCTTGAGTATGAAAACGCTATCTAGACCTCGAATTAGCAGGATTTTTGGGTATGATACTATACCCTAACCCTTAATGAGTGAACCCTAGGTCCTAATTATCTGAATCATAAACTATAAACCCTAAGATGGTGCATTAATTTTTTGCCTATATTTGGACGAATCATAACCGTCGATTATTGTTTCTAATTAAATTGATCTTGGGGTATAAGATTTAGAGAATCAAGACCTAGATTTTGATCTTTAAGGGTTAGAGTATAGTATCATGTCCAAAAGATCATTCAATTCAAGTTCTGGATAGCGTTTTCTTACTCAAGGTATGCGGTATCCCGGATTTCACCCTGGGTACCATAGAACTCCCCATATATATATATATATATGTAGTGGGGCGACCACTCCCCAGCAAACCCCGCACGTAATAATGAGAAATTCTTTAGTGCACCGGGTGCACGTCACCCGTGCACCGCCCCAATAATATACTGCCACGTATTTTTATTATTATTTAAATATTTGATATTTCAAAAAAAAGATTAGCGACAGATGATCATGAAATCCCCTGACAAAGATGAAATAAGCTACATGCGACAATAAAGGAAGCACCAGACCTTCATACGTTGCCGATGGGACCGCGAAAGATTTGGAATAGCTCCGGCGTCCGTGTTCGTCGAAGAAGCTGAAGAGGGTGATTGAATAATAGGAATCAAAATACAAATACAGAATTGAATTCGGTGTTGGATTATTACAAATCGTGGAGATGATGTTGACGTCGACGGTGGACGGGAGCCGTCCATGAACTTGGAAAAGCTACGGACTTCGGAATTATATTGATAGGTGGTGGGTTGAGATCGGACTGAGGTTTGGAGATCGGATCAGGTCGAAGAGAGCGGGAGTGAATTGAGGGCGCAGAGGACGACGACGATGGCGATGGCGGTGGATTCTCTTCAGCTCACTGCGTCACTATTCTTTTTTGGAAATATCAAATATTTAAATAATAATAAAAACACGTGGCAGTATACTATTGGGGCTGTGCACAGGTGACGTGGTACACCCGGTGCACTGAAGAATTTCTCCATAATAATTCCCCTTCCCACCTTTTATTCTCCACAATAGCCGCACAAAGAAAGAAAAGAAGAAGAAGGGGAAGCGTTGGTTCCCCTAGCCACCGCCGCTCTACTGTCCCGACCCCGACCTCGATCTTGATTTCCCTGTCCATCCATTTCGTGTCCTAAGCGTTGCGGTGAAGTTTGAGGGTTCGATCATCTATCAACGAGGATATGAAGGTCCCGGGTTATCCAATCTTGTCCTAGGCACGTTTTAAAGGTTTCCCCAAGATAATCCGGCTAAGGAGGGATTACTTCGAGGACGAAATCGAGGAGTCATCATTTCGAGGTGAGTGTAAAGAGGGTAAAATCTCTATCGTAGGTCTTTTAGTTTATGCCTTTCGTTCAAGTTATTATTCAGTTAATTTTTGAGTAATGCGCGATATGTGTGTGAGGCATCCCACCGCCTACTTAAGGGTGAAGACACACGTTGTGCTATGTATGAATGTATGGATGTATGGTTGTAATAGTTGGTTAATGGTAAGATGAAATCCAGGGCGGTTGGGCCACTACTGGACGCGGTAGATGGTCGGGTCACTGCTGGACGGCGAGACGTAACGCAACAGTTGATCGAGTATGTTGGGGTCACTATTGAACGGCGAGACGTAATGCAGTAGTTGACCGGGCATGGACTGGACGACGAGACGTAACGCACTGCCATTGCTGAGTTGGGTATGCAACCGGACGATGAGATGTAACGGGGTTGGCATACTAGGGTAAGAACACCGGACGGCGAGACGTAACGCGGTGGACCCTGGTATTGATGTTTATGAGTTAAGGATAGAAGTAGAGAACTTCTATGAGTTCAGGATAAAAGTAGAGAACTTCTATAAGCTAGTGGAAAGAATGATTATTCTAGAGCAGAAAGCGAGAACGGCTTTCGTGCTAGGAAGGAAACTCTAATAACGTGTTTAGTAGGGAGTTTTCCTAGGGCGAAGACCTTAGGAAGTAACGAAGAAACTGGCCCCTTCTCACTCACCGGGTGCAGAAACGGGAAGATGACGCATCTATCAGGAGGAGGTTACCCGAGGAGAGTAGCCTCGACAATCTTGAAGATGTCAACTGGATCTGGGTAACGAGATGGGACCTTCTATTATGTTTGTCTTTAGTTCATGTCTTAATGAGTATACTGGGAAACTCAAGGATTGTGTTCATTGTTTTGTTGCTTTGGATTGAGGTCGCCCAAGTGTTTAGGGCATTTTCTCTTGAGAATCTTAAACATTGTTGTTGTTTATTTTGGATTATGACTTGAAAACCTGTTTTGGGTTGCTCCGGAGTTAGGTAACAAGTTCGTGGAGCGGGAGCGAGAGCGTTAGAACGTCAATTTAAGACGAACTTACAATTGAGAGCGTTAAGAGAGCTTTATTATTTTAGTACTTTTATATTTTTCATATACTTATTAGTTATTACTACATATGATATGATAGCATTATTAGATGGGAAGAGTATTATTAATTATAAATTTACTAATATAATAACTATAATCAATATTCAATACATTTTATTTTTTTATTACTTTTTTTCACTCACTTTTCTCTATTATATCTCCACCATCGAGACCACTTTTATCTAACCCCTATATCATCTTTCTCTTCTCTCTGTTCTCCAACCCGGAAACAGAGCTAGCTCAAACTTCCTTACTTCAACTTCCATTTTTCTCTTCATCATCTCTTACATGCAATCCCATTTTCAGTTTTATCACTTTTAGTCTTATAAATCATGAATGGTTTTTTTACTCCCAAATCACATCAATAAGGCAGACCATGGATTTACGGTGCCAGTGAGATAAAGAGGCGAGAGAAGCTCTTTCTTTTTGTTCTTTACTCCAATTCTTATTTCTCAATTTCCATTGTGTTCTACCAATTTTAATTGAAATGTCCCGCCCCTAGAATTGCCGTCTACCAATTTTTGGCTTTCTTGATTTCACAAGCAGATCTTTCCAATAGACCGAGAATAGCCAGAAGAAGATTGAGATCACGATAAGGCGACCTAACCCGGAAGCAGAAGATAGTCGTCTTGTGAAAAATCGACTTAAGAGGTGATTCAACTGGACGAAAAATGAGAAGAAGGGGAGGAAAATCAGTCTTGGCCTTCTGTGTTCGGGAATACACCGCGCTCCCAGAATTCCAAATCGCGCTCTCACCAAAAAATAATTCGCGAATTTTCCGCAAACTCTACAAAATGCGCGTTTTGACGATTTGGAGCGGGATCGTGGAGGGTGGAGTGGTGAATTAGGTGACCTAACTTTGGAGTAACCGGTTTGTTGTTTTAGTTATGGTTTGGTTTTCAATAAGGATCTGGTCGTTACATTTTGGTATCAGAGTCAGCATTCCTTTGTTTCTTGGTCTCCAAGAAATACCGAAGTGAGGATCTGGGTTTTCAAAGGTTTAGTTTAAAGGAAAAGGGAAATTTCAAGAAAAATGGTTGGCCAACCGATTTATAAAGGTTTATAGAGTCCCTAGTATACTCAAGCATGATAGGACAAATAAATGTGATTCTAATAAGGTTACTAGTTGCTTGCAGAGCAGGTAATGCTAATGTTAACCACGTGTCAGCTAGGCCACCCCTGAATTATGTGACTTTCTGGAGGCGAGAAGTGGTGGCTTTTGATGGGGACCGCTCGAAGGATGCTAGTGAAGTAGAGAAATGGCTGGCG